CCCCAAAATGTGTGAAATTTAGCCAATAGGATCATACCAATTCAGCTCTCGTTTGAAAAAATACGGTGACCGTTAATTAATTAATTAATAATAACAATACATGGGCCGGCTGGTTGTGCGTATTATAAATAACACGAAAAAGCCAACATCGGTATTGGCTGGAATAAAACGTATAAGACGCTATTTGTTTTTACAACGACTGGTTCAAATTATCTAATATTCGTGGTGGTACACAAATATTTACCTTCATCAAAATCCCCTGGAAATATGGATATGGACGAAAACATACTTGAGTATACTCCAGAAGGCTCCTCCATGGCATGGTTTTGGTTCTTAATCTGACGTTAGTCTAGATAAATGGTATATAACTTCCAAAAAGCGAGTGAATATATCGTCGATGTAGCGTTCAAGTTTCCCGTAGCTAGTAGGTGTGCGTGCGTACTCTGTGCATGTACCATGTGTGCAATACACTGACCTCTATGCGTGCATCACATTAGCGCAGCTTGCTAGCCAGCCTAGCCCGTAGCCCGGCGCTCGAGCTAACCCTGAATCGCGAACCGGACTGATCTGTTTCTCTCGGTTTATCAGGTCCTATACGACTTGAATTATCAAAAATTTAAATTAATCAGCCTAATCTCATATTTTTGTAATGAATATCTGGACAATTCTATGAAAATTTGTAGCCTATTTTACTCCAAAAGAGTCGTTAGGTCAGCATGCAAAATGTCCTTAGCCTTCCAAGATCAGACACATACACGCTGAAGTGCGCTCAGAATATGTGATTATTTTTCTGATTTTTATGCTCAAATGTGACGGGAAAAAATATAAAAATCAAACAAACATTTGTAGAAAGTATCATTTATTCAGTGTATCTCATTAAAAATGTCAAAAATCGAGGAAAAATCACCCCTGGCGAGAAATATACAAACAACGTTAACCCATATCTGAAAATTGCAATGGGTATCCAACATTGTCCCGAATGTGTGATGTAGGTTGTTCATATTGTGACGTCATCGTTTCGCATGTAAAATAACACCGTCAATTCACTTAGAGAGTGGGTTCAGGAAAGGGTAACAAAATTGCATTTAATTTATTCCTCACAACAGTGAGGGCTTCAAAAGTACTTTGCTCATTTTGTTAATGTTCTCAGCAATCTGTTGAGGTGTAATTTGCCCATTTTCCACATTTCAATGAACCATCTCTTTAAGCACATTTGCATGATTAACATAAACATTATTTGGTAACAAAATTGTGGTCATGATGTAACTGATTAATAAGATAACAGTGATTAATGACCCATCACCAAATGTCTTTCATTACCTACATGTGTAGGTAATTATGGACAGTTACAAATCAAGATATTTAAAATACAATTTGAATAAAAATTGTATTGTTATAGTTAGTTCAAACACTCTTTGAAAAAGAAACATGTATCCAATGAACTTACTGTTATTTTGAAACGATTGTGCATGGCCAGAAATATTTCCGTAGTTTTTTGTTAACAGTAATAAAGGTGCTTTAAATTATGTTTAAATACTTTCAGAATAATGTTCTGGCAAAGTGACTTTTACATTGATCAAACTCACAGCATAGAAACAACTTCTTAAAGATAAAGGTGAGTTCTGGTCATCCCATTGCATTGTGAAAAAAAATTTGTGGAATGGATCAGAAAAAGTTGATCATGTAGCATGTAAGTATTGGTGTGTACTGCAAAGTTCTGGAGTCATCAAAATCATAATAAATTTGACCCAGTCTTGGTAAAGTTACAAGCACTGTACACAGAAAGATGTATATGGGACTACACAAATGGTATCGGGGCTAGCATTGATTTCCTAATATTTCTTTACTCATTACTCAGCCAGTATACATTTTCTACCAAAATTGTTTGGCAAATGACATTTAATTGTAATCTTGAACATTTTTAGTTTGATTCTAAGAGAATTCATTTTTTTAAAAACCAGAACTCACTTTTATCTTTGAAATAAAATACATTCAAATTAAAATGGTGAAACAACCAAATATAATCGTGATAGTGCCTTTCAACATGAAATGAACAACTGGGGAAAGTAGGCCCCCATCTTGGACCTGGTGTCCCCCATTGCCTACAAACATTTCTGATCAGGCACCATTCATAATGTGCATTGCAACACCCATTCACAACACACAATGGTCATAAGTTTTCTGTCATGGTTGGCAAACTTCATGAACTTCCTTTTAAAACTACTTTTTAAGAGCCACCCATAAGTATCTGCATACACCATAACATTCAGTGGAAATTGTGTTTTTATATCAGAGCAAGAATTTACAATCAAAATTGCTTATCTTGGTCAATTCTGCCAATTTTCTCGGTAAAAGAACGCATTGTAGTCTTCGAAATGAATTGGATATATGCAGTAGTGTTGTGAAAGGCCACATATGGCGCTATAGCAATATTGGAGCCAACACGGACAGACAGTGATGGGTTCAAGCTTGGTGGTTTCCAATTCCCTACGGTCTCAAATTCCCTACACCTACCCTATTTTAAAAAAATGTTTTGTTTTTATACCAAATCATATACTGATTTTTGATTCTCCAACATGAAGTAACAAAGGACTGCCTACAAACAGCGCCCCGAATCCCACATTCCAGCCAATTCCAGAGAACGGATGCACTATGGGAAAAGGCATTTTTTACCAGCCTGCGTGCGGACAAGTGGCACCACAACACCATTGTGCACTGTATTTCTTGTTCGGCGTGAGTGTACATTTCCTGATCGTACAAAAGTTCAGTGAGGTAAACTGGTGCTTCCCCTTGGAGTACACTGTGCACTGTTTTGCATATGTGAAATTGCCACCTTTCTTAAATCGAGATCCATTTGTTTATCATATGCCTGTTCAATGAGAGTAGAGTAATTGACTTTTAAGAACAACTGGGCCATTTTCTTGTGTTGTCTTATTAGACCGTCTTTCAAGTATTGTCCACATGTGGACTATGAATTATTAGAATAGTCAAAGTAAGGTAAAAATAAGCGAGTTAGCTAAGACCTTAAAGTTGTCAACCGTGAGGTATTTCTGAGTCTATCGAAAAGTGCAAGTCGGGAACCAATCTTCTTCATTGTTTCTTCAACATGTTTTTGCCAAGTTAATGTCTCATCCATCCAAACCCCAAGATATTTATAAGTGGTTACTCTTCCCAGCTCATGATTGTCAACAGCGAGAATTATATCACCACCATTTGTAAGTTTCCTATGGGAGCCCAAAACCATGTATCGAGTTTTTGATAAATTTAACCTGAGAGGATTTTGTGTCAGCCATTTATTGGCTCAAGCTCCTGATTCAATACAGATTCAATGTCTTTAATATCTTCCCCATTGTAGTACAATATTGTATAGTTGGCGTACATCATAATGTGGCACTTTTCAACAATCCCGAAAACAGAAGAGGCCCGATAATCGAGCCTTGCGGAAGGCCAGATCTGACATTAGTAATGTCAGACAAGGTCCCTTTGACAGATGTACGTTAGGTTATTTTGGATAAATATGATTGAATCCAAATAAGCTTAATGTCTTTAACTCCATACAAAGGAAGTTTCTTTAACAAAAATTAAATTAAAAAGAATACATTGAATTTAAATGTAGTAATAACTTGGTTGTTGAAAAAATAGTCAGACATACATTGTAACAGGATGGTCACTTGACAAGTTCGGATATATTTAGAGTTTGTGCATGACAGATTATCCTCTTCTAAATTTAAAACAAATGGTTTATATATACGATATTAATAAGTTTTTTAACCTCTTTTAGTGTATTTCTTTAAATGGTGGTTTATGTACATGAATAGCTGTCATATTATTTCATGTGTTACCAAACTTGAATCCTCCAGTTTGCTTCAGGTTCTCTTAACATACACATCCAAAGTTAATTGTCCCTGTTTTCATCGGACTGTCCATCTTCTTCTGCTCTGCTTCTATTTATGAGAGTTCCAGTCTGTAGCATAGCACTTGGTAGTCTAGTTCTGAAACCTTTTTATTGATTTATTTATTCGCAGACTATACGCGTTAGTAGTGGCGCGATCCCGAAAACCGGGATCGCGCCACCACTCGGATTAACGCGTATAGTCGGCGAGGAAAACAATAAAAAGGGTCCAGAACTAGACTAAGCACTTGGAAGAAGATACCCATCAAGATCCATGTTGTTTTTTTGTTGCGGATTTTTGGTTAACAGTTTTCATATCCATGTACTTGTGTATCTCTTTGTATACATGTGTCGCTTCTTGCAGTAAGGGGATATTCCCTTCACATGCAGTACAACAAATTTCCGCGTTCGATTCCTTGTCGTTATTTTCGTTACTGAATCACCATCATTTAACATGTTTTTGTGTTTGGAAGGAGGTATCCATCAAGATCTACGTCCTTCCCCGTTTTCGGCTTTTGGTATACTATTTTCATTTCCATATAATCATGTTTCGTGTTTACCTTTGTGCATTGAGGCAAAGACACCGTTTCTGCATTTTCATCAGGAGGTTTTGGCATATCCGTTTTGCCAACATGATTTCTCTTATCCGATACCGACTTTCCATTTTTCAAAGGACTTTCTGTGTTCGGAAGAAGATTTCCGTCTAATTCACAGTCCTCACCACTTTGAGGTATTTGGTAAACCGTTTTCGTGCCCGCATTTTCATGGAAATCTTCTAAGTTATCTTTTATATCTTTTATATTTGATTCATAATGGTGACCACAAACATCGTTTTCAAGTCTTTCATGTAATTTAGGTGGAACATTCAAGTCTTGGTCACCAGAACCAACTGACAGAGCGTGCATTGATGATATAGTCGTCACGTCCATATATATTTCTGTATTCAAGTTCCTAGCAGTCATTCTCTTTTTATACCTATAAATACAGTACCCAAACAATGCGATTAGAATGATGCTAAATGATAAAATACAGAGCCAAAATGAAATTATCATCCGGAGATCGTCTTGTAGATTTGGGTTTACAGTTGATTTTAAATTTCCAATTTTACTTGTGTTAAGCGGATATGTCGTGGTAATGACCTTGTGTCCTTGTTGTCTTGATGGAACTGTTGTAGTTTCGTGTCCATTGGGCACTAGCTTGGTTGTGTACGTTGGCGGTATTTCATCAGAGGTGATCATGTCCGAGTAAGTCCTCAAACCTAGAAAGATGTTTCGAAACAATGAATTCGGCTTTCTGTACCGATGAATATTCATGGAAAAGAAAATTAATAAACACAGCTATAACAAATGTAAAAATACTGAATAAAAACAAGTCTATTCTTTTTACTTAAAATGATCCATATAATGTTCACTTTTGTGACATGACTTTTTACAAAATCAAGCGACGTGAGCTTTCATAAACCGCAAGATTTGCGATTTCTTTCTTAATTTTCGATTAACGGATTAAAATGCAAACTTTATTTCAGGGGGGGGGGGGGCTGTGTTGTGAATGTAATCTTGTTTCTTTTGATAACGACGTTACCCGGTTGTTTTATTATCGTGCTTTACACACGTATAATATAATTGTCCTCCTTTTCGGACGATCTGTATTCTGCTGATTACATTGTTTTGTGTTTTGTGTGTGTAAATGACGGCTCTATGATATTACCTCCACGTTTACATATAACGCTGGCATCCCCCTCGTGTGTACAATGATGAACACCTATCCCCTTATGCTGGCAGTATCTGAGGCTGGTTTTTGTCCCGTTGCACTGAACACCATCCAGAAAGATATCACCAGAGCCTTGACCAAATCTGGCACGGGGCAGAGCAGCCACAGCACCATCAAATCCTAACTGTCGACATACAACCTTAGCGTCGTCCAGGTCCCAGAAATCGTCGCATACAGTCCCCCAAGACCCTTCGTGTAGTATCTCAACTCTTCCTTCATATCCATGGGCTCCATTGACAAGTTGAACTGAAATGTAAAGCATATGAATACAGATTCATATTGGTCAAATTAGAAAATTATTAGAAATGTTTAGCGATTATCAACGCAACTCTGAACAAATTATTTCATAGAACGGTATGTTGGAAATACTTGGTGACAATTGACAAACACATGTTAGGAGTACGCGCTAAAGAGCACTTTAGCCACAGCTTAAAAGAAAATGCCTAATCAGGAACACATGTAGAAATTTGTAAAACATATCTCAATCTGACAGTGTTATAAATATAAAAATCTCATCTATATTAACACCAGAAAAGTATCAATTCAAGAAGCATAGGCCTATCCAGACGGGATAGAAACTGATGACGATCAGAATTTCCATGTTAAAATCTTACCTCCCAAGGAGCAAGAAGCGCCGGCATCACTACTATGACTACAGTGAGAACGTCCTACACCTGCATGAAAACAATCTGCCAAGTTATCTTCATTTCTCCTACAGCCGAGAGATGTCAGAAGACTATGGCCAGGTCCTTGACCAAACCTTGCAGAAATAGACGCAGCTATTGCGTCGTTGAACCCCATCATTCTACAAACAACCCTCGCATCTTTTATATCCCACCAGTCATCACAGATAGTTCCCCAGAATCCATCGTAAAGTATTTCTACTCTTCCTTCAGCATCGTTTGATCCATTGACAAGACGAACTTGAAATGGATCTAGACGGTCAGGATGAAAAGGATTTTTATAATTGACAAACGTGTGTCCAAAGATTTATTCATGAAGATTGATATTCGTATAAAAAAGAACCCATACATGAACCATTGGTCAACACAAACAGTGGTGAATTGGGTTTGTATGTTTATTAACACAGGTAACTGACGTGTTACCGATCGACAAAAACTAAGTATACCAAAGAAACTAAATCGTTTGATGTTATATATTTAAACTATTTTCAATTATAATAACAAAAACTAAACCGGTGTAATGGTAACCTGAGCGTAACCGTAATGAGCATCCCTATGTATAGGACCAATTGAAGGTATCTTTATCGCAATACCTCCCCGTAACATCTCTATGACTCAATTTGGCTGAAAACTAGTATTTGCACTCCAATATTTAAAAATACGATTTTACCGCTTTCGGGACCGGGCGTAGCACTACCAAGCCCCGTCCAATCCAAGCGTTTTACAAACTACTCTTGCGTCTCTTAGAACCCAGTTATCATCACAAATAGTTCCCCAGCTTCCCTTATACAAAACCTCCACTCTGCCTTCTGAATCGGTGGTCCCATTGTAAGACGAACTTGAAATTGCTCTGATGTGTTTAATGAACGGTTAGGATGAAAAGCAGAATATGTTTATCAAATAAAATGTATATACTCTTACAAGGAAATGTAATCATGCACTCCTAAAAAATGCCAGTACATGGATTGGTTTAGAGCACTACACGTGATCAGAAATATTTGGAGAAGAGCAATCTCTTTATTATTAAACGAAAAATAAAGGTGAAATGTCGAAGTAAGGAAACTCCCCAGTAATTTGTTTGCGGAAGTCAGTTTTTTGCGGCCGACCTCATTGACTGACTACAGGGCATGCAAAGTGTACCTCTCGGGGGAATATGCAGGTGATTTAATTAGACATATTTACTCTAGCGACTAGCCTTAAAAAAAAACCTACCTCCCGAATGACAAAGAGCGCCTGCATCCCTTGTATGGCCGCAAGAGTAACTTTCAACCCCTGCAAGAGCACAATCAGCTATGCTGTCTTCAGTTCCGTCACAATTGACATACTTTAGTAGAATACTACCAGAGCCCTGACCAAACCGTGCAGATCCCGGTGCGTCCAAGGCTCCATCAAACCCAAGCATTCTGCAAATCACCCTCGCGTCTCTCAGATCCCAGCCAACATCACAGATTGTCTCCCAGGATCCATCGTGCATGATCTCTACTGTGCCTTCAGCATTGTTTGACCCACCGACGAGACGAACTTCAAATGGCTTTGGATGGACTATTAGAGAAGAGCGTGGTAAAAAGGTCGTTTTAGATGATATTACCACACCTTTCACTTTCAATAACATATTATTAGGGCACTTATAATTTATTTGCAATTGATTCCATTTAGATATCCTATAAGAACTACGTAACAATTAACTTCAAACGTAATACCGGCCGTAGAGGGATAAGTTGCATAGTCGGCTTAATATATATATATATATATGCGTAGAATAAGGGAAGTTGTTATTGTAATACTATTATAAGTTGTAATTGCTTCCCCATACAAAACCGTCATGTCGGAATTAAAAAAAACCTTTCTTTCGGAAACTCATTTGAATATTATCATGTAAAATCCGCTGGAACCATTTCTGCCCCCGTACAAAAAACGACCGATTACTAGTAAATCGTCAAGTATGTAATTTTCAATTTAAATTGGTTATACATCGAAATTCATTGTTAATGAGAGCAATGTAAATCCTCAAAATCACTAATAAATTACTATTCTGATATTCGTGCTCATCCAATAAGCACCTAATGAAAATCATTGTCTGGTAGCTGGACTACTTGCAATGATAGAGTACAGAGAAAACATACGTCCTGAGTAGCAGATGGCTCCTGCATCCCTTGTATGACTGCATGAGTAACGTCCAATCCCTGAATGAGTACACTCTGCTAGGTTGTCTTCAGTTCCGTCACAAGTGACATACTTTAGCAGGATACGACCAGAGCCCTGACCAAACCTTGCAGATCTCGGTGCATTTAAGGCTCCATCAAAACCCAGCATTCTACAAACCACCCTCGCGTCTCTCAGGTCCCACCACGAATCACAGATGGTTCCCCAGGATCCATCGTACAGTACCTCTACTCTGCCTTCAGCATCGTTTAGTCCACCGACAAGACGAACTTCAAATGGATCTGTGGGGGAGAACCAGGGGTGAAAGGATTTTTCTCTTGATACCATGTCATATTAAGACCAAAAGAGTACAAAAGTTATGGTTAAAACGCATATAAGGTTGTTTTTTTTTTTAGCCCAAAATCCTCGAGAGCAAACGCCTTAGAGTCCTGAGATAAGTGTGGGTAGTGATAAAGAAGATAGTTAATACAGCCTATATTTCGTTCTTAAGATGAGAAAAGCGCTACAGATATATATATATATATATTAACCGGAAATGTCTTCCATTTCGGATGGATTTGTTTAGGTTTGAACGGTTTCTATGTAGAATACGGACCAAAAACTCCTACCTCCGAAATAACAAATGACGCCTACATCCCTTGCATGACCGCATGAAGTATAATTTCCAACTCCTCCATGAGCGCAGTCTGCTAGGATGTCTTCTGTTCCCTCACACTCGACATAAGCTAGAAGAATACGCCCAGAGCCCTGACCAAACTTAGCCGACCGTGGCAATTGAGGGCACCGTCGAAGCCCAGCATCCTACAAACCACCCATGCTTAGAAAAAAATCCCACCTGTTATCACAAAGAGTTCCAATCCAAAATCCAATCCAGGAGTTTTTAAAGCGCCAATATCTAGTTGCCTAATCAAAGGCGCGGATGAGCCTGAAAAACTACCAAAAATGTATATTCATGATTCTAACTAGGAATGACAGAAAAAACAGTGACTAATGGTAAGCACTCTGAAATAGGTATGTCTTTAGTTGAGTTCTGAAAGTGGATAACTGGTGACAAGAGCGAAGGATTTGGGGTAGACCATTCCACAATCTCGATGCACAGACAGTAAATGATCGATCACCTAGAAGAGAGCGTGTTCGAGGACTCTCAAGCAGGTATTTACCTGCAGATCGCAAATTATATAGTTCCCCAGGATACATCGTACATGGCCTTTACTCTTCCTTCAGCGTCGTTAGACCCACTGATCAGACGAACTACAAATGGACCTGTGGGGTAGAACTTTAGGGTGAAAGGATTTTTCTTTTGAATAATGAAAAGTCGTACCATGTCAGATTTAGACCAAAATTGTGCAAACTTTATGTTTAAAACGCATATAATTGTTTTTTTTTAGCCCACAATCATCGGGAGCAAATGCCTGAGAGTCCCGTAGTGAGCGAAATACTGACAAAGATGTTTGTAAATATAGCCCATATTTCGTTTTTAAGAAGAGAAAAGCTCTACCGATCCGCTGTACAAGACCTGTAACTCTTCCCTAAGCACTGTGTGAGCCATTGACGAGACGTATCAAGTAGACGAATGTTGATAACTTTGACTAACGATTGTTTTCTATTATTTGTAGATACAGTGTAGCGCAACCAAAATAGGTTCCTTGCTTAGAAAGAGCGTATTAATCACCTCTACTCAAACAAAAAAAAAAAAAAATCATAGACACAGACACGTTAGCCAATAATTCCCAAACGAGGAAAAAAATAAAAAATAAATAAATCATGATTTTTTTCAAAGGTTAGATAGATGAATCAAGTTTTAAAATTAAACATGTTTTAGTAATTGTGCTGTATTTGTATATTTAATGTGGTAATATCTAGCAAGGTTCCTTTTCTAGGCTTTTGTTTCATCATCACAAACTTCAGTGTTAAAGCAATGGATCGAATACGTATAACGTAATAATGTAGACATGTGGACTAGTAGATAAGCTATGGTCACAACTCAGAGCGGCGACCGACCGATATGTAGCCTGCTCGGTTGCTGCTGGAATTTAGGCATAGCCCAACAATTTTTGGAGAAGTCGAGCAGGCTGTAGTTCCCTGTCGATTTCCCGTCAATCGCCGGTCGATTTTAGGTAAAAACTGTAATAAATTAGGAAGCTTCTCCGGGCGGCGTCCCGGCAGTGACTGACTGATGACCCACCGATTCCTGAGCGGTCTCCCATCGGCCATCGGCTGATTTTAAAGAAATTGTCCGGCGGCCGGCCGGTGATCGGCGGGGCACCAAAATACGCTCGTTGCCCGGGCGGTCGCCGCCCTGGCAACGACCTAATCGAGCGTTCGCCGTCGAGCGATATAGGTCAAAAATCGAAGATGCGAGGTCAAATGCTGCCGACCGATTTTGAACTCGCCGCCCAGTGACCGACTAATCTCCCTGCGACGACCGGGCAGCGACTGGGCGGAGACCGCTCGGAAGCCTTTGACTTAGCGGCTTCAAAATTAGACCTTAAATCGCTCGACGGTGAACGCTCAATTAAGTCGGTGCCCGGGCACCGCGCGTATTTTAGTCGGCGAGTGAAAAGTGAGCAGGCGCCGCCGAATTTTAACTCCGCGCTAAAACTTTAGCGGCGACCGAGCGATGCCTTAAAAACAAGCGGTGCCCGGGCGTTCGCAGCCCGGGCACCGACTTAATTGAGCGTTCGCCGTCGAGCGATTTAGGTCTAATTTTGAAGCCGCCAGGGCGAAATTGGCTAAAAACTCGCCGCCCGGCCGCCGAGCCACTCTCCACCAAGGTGTAAATGGGTACCTGATATGCTTGAGCGCTATTTACTTTGGCAGCTCGGCTACGACTAGGGTAATATGTGTAAAGCACCATGAGCGTCAGAGCCTAAATGATACTGGCGTTATATAAATAACCATATTATTGATTTATTATTATTTATTATTAGGTGGTCTGTCGTTTTCGACAGATCACCTATTGTTTTCGTCAGAATTTTCTTTCTTTCTTTATTATTATTTATTTTTATTTCTTCCAGTTTTTTGTTTATCGGTTAACTCAAGATCGGTTGTGTTGATTTCTTTCAATTTTGACACAGTCATAGGTCATTGTCATGAGACATGACAGGAACATTTTCAAGGTCATCAGGTTATCGTGACGTCATCCAGGCGCCATTTTTCTGATTATCCATCATATCTTCATGATGCATCAGCAAAGGTCATTCATATTCATATCACATATACTTCAGGTCAAGGGTCAACAAGTCATGTCATCAAAGGTCACATAAAGGTCATGCCGCGCGCGTCAAAATTTACAAATGCTCAAAATCACTTAATTATTTTAAAGGAGAGTACGAATCAGGCCATTTTAAGCATTTCAAAATTTTCCGTCCGTACGTGTCCCCGCGCGCGTTGTGCGCGCTCACAACGCGCGCAAAAGGTCAAATTCCAAATGTCTACATGATTTAGATTCCTCTTACCGTAATTGACAATTTACATTAATTTCAGTCACTCTTGACCTTTCATAAGGCCGTGAGCGCGCGTCAAAATTCAAAATCCGCGTGTGCTGCTATGGGCAATATAATGCAAATTTGATCAAAAACATGCCATTTAAAAATGAAGATAGCTCTTCAGATAGTCCATTGATCCCAAACTTTTATATCATGGTTGGAAAAAGCATGAGTTGGAGATATGATTTCAGGTCTTATTTGACCCTCAATTAACTCATGACGTCATCATAAGAACTCAAAATTTTAATTTGCATATTATGACGTCAGCAGATTTTTCGAAAATCGATTGTATCTCTGTAAATATTGATCAATTTTCTTTCAAATTTTGATATGTTCTAGCTGAGATGATTCTCTACAAATGTAGTTGCCACGATATTCATTTTGACAAAGGCATCATGGCGTATTTTTGAAATTAAAGGAGGCATGTCAATTTTTCACATTTTGCGTGTATTCTCTATGGGACATTACTTTTTCTCAAAACTGGATTCTACGTTCTCGTCTTTCGCGAGCAATATCTCCGTCGTTTTATCTTTGTTTACGCTGAGCTTTGAGTATGTTGTAGCTGAGACAATAAGCTATCACAAGTGTGACCTTTATTTTTCGATCAGATGCCGGGATCATGCTCATATTTCACTTGCAAAGTGGGATTTGAGAATTTTATTTTCCGTTTACGTGTAATCGCTATTTTTTTTGTTTTGTAATATTCTTTATTGTATTCACTCAATAAATAATATTAATTCATACAAATTGTAATATATAACATATTGAAACCAATTACAGAGTACAAAATACAGTAATCTCAATTATATTGAATGAATTAATATTGTTATAACCCCCCCTCTATATTTTGTTCTGTGTTACTAGTATCCCTATTACATATTATAATTTATAACATATTGGAACAAAGTACAGACTACAATCAACTTAGTTATATCGAATGAATAAAGTTTGTTAAATCCCCTACCCCCGTTAAAAACAAAACCAACATCAAACACAAAACAAAAAAAAACAAAAAAACAAAAAAAAGAAAACAAAAACAAAAACAAAAAAACCCCCCAAAAAACACAAAAAAACAAACAAAAAACGATACAAGAAGACGTGGGCAGTCTATGGCAGTCGAGACCGGTCAATCACACACAGCTGTGAACCGGGCAGGCCCCCCTTTCCTCATCCCTTGCATTTTCTTGCATATTATCCATGTTTACCTTGAGATGTTCCCATTTTTTATAGTGGAGCGTCAACGTATTTCGTTCAGTAGCACTCTTTCTTTCTTCCTGTTTACTTTTGAATAGTTTCTCTCTTATTTCTTCAATACTTAGAGGCTTCTTTTTTTCCCTACTAATAAATATCAAATATTTAATTAATAAAACCACGTGATTAATCATTTGCCTATCTTCGGTTATTTCGTCTAATCCAATGTGAACTTCCTTCCAGCTCATATCTTTAAGGATTGGAGTATCCAAACTATCACTACATTGATCCCATAATTTTCTCACCATTTCGCATTCAAAAAATATGTGCCTATATGTTTCCTCTTCTTTTCCACAAAATGAGCATTTATCACTTAATATGAATTGAAACCTGTATAAATAACGATTGACATAAACAATTTTATAAAGCAATTTGAATTGAAATTCTCTTAGTTTATTATCTAAAGTACTAATTCTTGGTCGGACAAAAACCTTTTCAATTTCTTTAACCGACAGATTGTATGAGGAATGTAAATTCTGAAAACTGACAGGGACGTCTTGCATTTTTTGTATGCATGCCCTGTACAGATTTTTCGAACAAACCGATTCAAATTGGAATGTTTTTTTTGTGAACATAAATTCTATTTTT